TGTGAATTGGTATCTCATTGCGATTTACAATAGATTTGCATTTCCCTAATGGGTGATGATATGTCCAGCATCTTACGTGATTAGTGGACAGTTGTTACATTTTCTCTGGAGAAAAGGTCTAGTCAGATGCTTTGCCCATTTTAAAATTGGGTTATCTTTTTATTGTTAAGTTATGAGTTACTTATATATTTTAGATACAAGTGCCTTATCAGGTATATAATTTGCAAAATTTTTCTCTTTTAATTGAGTTATAATTGACATAACATTTCTTTTCACTTTCTTGATAGTGTCCTTTGAAGCACAAGCTTTTAATTTTGGTGAAGTCCAACTTAAGCATAATGGAGTCAGAATTGATAATAATGGAGTTAGAAATTATCTAGACCTTAAATCATATTCTCATCAATATTTTGGTTATATAAATTAAAAGCCAGAGGTGAAAGGGTTAGAGACAGATTTGAATTAGTCCTAGATCAGAACGGGTTCATCAGGGAACAGTGTCACTCTGCTGTTTAAATTCCCTAATGGTCTCCCACCCCATTGCCCATGGTTAATGTTCAGGCCTCTGAATGTGGTTGTAGAGGGAGGTGTCTCTGATTTCAGCCTTCTGTTTTCCTGCTCTCCTTCATCCCCATTGCCACTCCGAGAAACACCCTCTTCTTCAGATCTTCTTGTGATGCACTTATGANAGCATCAGAGTGAACTGGGTGATTCAGAGATGTGCTCCCCTAGTAGCGGAGCAGCTAGCGAGGGACGCAGTAAAAAGGAGCGAGGTGCAGGTGGGGCGCCGCTGCGCCTAAATGACTGAAGATGAGGTCAGATGTTGAGGGTGGAAATGCAGGAACCGAGCTCTCCCGCCTGTCCGCACAGGGGCACACACACCAGCTCTCCGTCTCTCAAATGGTTTGAATGTGTTGGGGGGAAGTGGCAGGCTGCGGGAGAGCGGAGAAGAAAGGGGCTTCCTCTTGGCGAGAGGCGCTGGCCCTGTCGTCCTTTTTTGGGAGTGTTCAAAGGGTTTTGATCGCTGGAAAAGGAAACGTAGGCTTTACTGCATGGTGGTTTAGAATCACATCCTATATTTGGCCTTAATGTAGGCTGTCCTTGTTTTGTGGTGTCTGAAGTCCTTGCTCTACATGTTGCAAACGTGGGATTCAGCATGAGAAGCAAATTGCAAGTTGTTCATCTCCCCCAGGGTAGTAAGATACAAACGCCTTTCTTACCTATAAGACATTTTAAAAGAATTTAATCTAGTGCGTGTGTTTAAACTAGTACTGTGTGGAGACTAGATTTACTTTTGGAAATAGTTATCACAAAGTATTAGGCCCTCTTGCCGGCAGCCTTCCTGCCAGGGATTACATTCTAAAACTATACTTGTAGGGCTCTTAGTCACACTATATAATAATGCATTTCATTGTCCTTATCTGGCTGAACTCTCTCCTGACACCAGGGCCTGCTAGAATAGACAGAAGTAAGATTAAGTATAAGTAGTTGCTTTGTACCATCTG